CGAACTGAATCTTCTCAGCCACCATACCCATCAAGGTATAGTGCTCCTCCAAGACGGATGCACTCCGTAGTCCGTCCCTCAGCATGTTCGGCGCCTCCGGATTCATGGAGGTCGCCGCAAGAATAGGCACTCCCCCTCCCTTGAAGGGGGTCATTCACTCGACTCCGGATCCGTTTCTGGAGCGGTATTCGGCTAGGGGCAAACAATCCAGGGCCCCCATCCCCGGTCTTCATGGGGTCGCGTCCCCCGTGTCCTCAACGGCCGAGGTATTACCCTCCGGTGTCGTATTGATGGTCCCCTGCACCTCTCGGCGATCCGGAGAAATCCTCTACGATGACACCTCGATGTATCTGCCCTAGGGGGTGAGGAAACTTGCGGAGGCGTCTCGCTCTCCATCATCTCCGGCGGCAAATCCCCTGACGAGGAGGATTGTTGAGGGAGATCGCGGGCCGGACTGAAACACATGATTTAATGTTATTCTCACAATTCATAAAGGAGCGGATGTATGTAAAGCGTCCTCGGGTACTTACAATTCGGCAAGGGGCTTGGTCCGAGGGCGGGGCTTGGGGATATCCTCAATGTCCGAATCCGAGTCATCCGGAAGGAATAACTTTCCCCTTTTGGAGGCCCTCGCCTCCGGGTCTGCCGAGGCCGCTCTCTTTTTCCCTTTGAGAGGAGTGCTATCTTCTTCTTCCTCCTCCTTGTCCTTGTTTTCGTCCCCGGACATAGCATCCAAGGTACCTTCGTGGTGGAGGCCACTTTCGGCCTCCTTGTTCTTCTTCTTCTTGTTCAGAGCCAAAGCGAACGAATTGTTGGAGGGTACTTGACCAGAGCGAAGGGTCGAAAGATTTCCAACTCCTATCTGGCACCCTCTACGCCGGTTATGGGCCAACCCACAAACCGGTGCACACCCCTCTCTGTCCTGGGCTCAACACATTTTCTTTTCCCCCATCTTTTAACCTTGAAAAAATGGTGCGTGAGTGAGACTTTAACTCTGAACCTACTAGTTCATTTTCAACCGTAGTAACCAATTGAGAAAGATCATGCATACTTGCAACTTCTTTTTCCTTTTGCTATGCACATTTCTGGTTTAGGTTTCGCAACATTTCCATGCTGTTTTTTTCTTTTCGTTTTTTTCATGCACAGTTTTCGCTCAATTTACCGCTTTCCCTTTTCATTTCATTTTTATTTTCATTTTTCCACAAACTTTCTTTTGAATTTGTTATTTTTTTAATTGTGAACTTTAAAAAAATTGTGGAACATTTTTCAAGTCCGCAATCTGTTTACAAATTTTGAACACTTTCTTAACTCATTTTTTTTTTCAAAATCATGAAGTTTTAAAAATCGATTTGAAAACAATTTTTGAATTTGCAATCATTTTTTTTTCAAACTCGAAAATTATTTTCAAATTCATGAATATTTTCAACTTAAACTCATGAACAATTGTCAAACTTGTGAACTTTTTCCATTTCATGAACTTCTTAAAATTTGAACTCATCATTTATTTTCAAATTTGTGAACTTTTTATTCAGACTCTTGAAGTTTTTTCAAATACATAAACTTTTAAAATTAGAACTCATGAACAATTTTCAACTTCATAAACTTTTTAAAACTTCAAACTCGTAAACAATTTTCAAATTAGTGAAAAAATTGAAAGTCATGAACTTTTTCCAAATTCATAAACTATTTTCAACTAGAATTCATGAATATTTCTAAAATTCGTGAGTTTTTTCAAACTCATGATTTATTAAAATTAATGATTTTTAAATTTGAACTCGTGAATAATATTTAAATTTGCGAACTTTTTTCAAACTCATGATTTTGTTTAATTCATGAACTATTTTAAGTTGGAATTCAGGAATACTTTTCAAATTCGTGATTTTTCAAATCATGAACTTTTTTCAAATCCATAAACTTTTAAAAACTCAAATTCGTTAACAATTCTAATATCTGAACTTTTGTCAAATTCACGAACATTTATTCTAATCCCAGAACTTTTTTGAAAAATCATGAATTTTTTGGTGTTTGCGTACGTTTTTCGAAACTGTGTGCTTTTTTTGAATGGATGTTTTTTTTTCAAATCCATGAACTTCTAAAATTTTACGAAAAAATAAATGCATGAATTGTTTGTGAAATCCATGATTGTTTTTCAAAACTTGACATTCAATTGTCAATTGGTCGTCCGATCAACAGTGTACTGGTCATCTAGCGATTTATTTGTTTTTGAGAACTAGCAAATATACCCGTGCATTGCAACGGGGGAGCAAACAATTTCATGCTCTGTTTTTCAACAGTGTCCCACCCGTATTGCCATTTATTCTTTTTTTTCACACACGCCTTAAATGCTAGTACCTTTTCTTTTACCAAATTCTCCACGTTCCAAACAATATTCTTGAATTGAAAAAAAAGGGAGGTAGCCTAAGCACAGATGCTATATTATAACCTGCAAGTCCCGACCACAATATAGAATATACAGATCCCTAGCATGGATGACATGAACAATTGCATCAAGAAATGAGGCTGCCGCTTAGGCAAGATGGCCTTGCAGTACTCTAAAAAGCACCAAGCTAGCGGCCGGGTGACTTCCAGATTCTAGTCAGGATTAATCAGGGTATTGTCCACCATCTAGAGCACTGGTGCCTCCTAACTTATCGCACATACCATGTATGGAAATTGCTGTCACTGTCAGTAGTACACGAACGTATGAGAGTCACGGCAGCCTCGGACTCCGGTGGTGGACGCATCTGCACGAACGCATGCTCGTCGTACTATTCCAGCGCTTTCTTGCCGGCAAGCTCCATCTGCTCCGCCCACGCCACAGCCCTGAACTGCTGCGGACAACGGGCGTGGCCTGGCTGCTGGCCTGCTGCTCGTTCTGCATCTTCATGCTCGTCAATCAGTGAACACAACACCGTGCCTCGCTAGCATATGTGCGAAGGGCTTGTATCGTACCGGTCGTGATGCTGCATGTTGTAGACTCGTAGTACCTCACGGTGAGCTCGGCGCCGAGCTGGCCATCTCTTTTGAGAGGGGCCAATTGCTGTTTGAGCTTGGACATGTTGCCCGGCAGCGTTGACGCCGCCTTGCCGTTATCATCTTCAGTCGTGTCCTTATCTGGTTGATGGTTTGATTGTCAATGTTAGGTAAGATATCGGCACAACCATCTCCTCGTAGAGCTCCTCGATCTGCTTCTTGGAGATTGTTCTTGATTTGCCTCCGTCGTCTATCTCGTCTCCCTCCTATTCATCAAAAATCTCGTCATACTCCTGTTCACCAAAAATCTCATCTCCTTATCTGGAGTCGTCATGTTCCCGAGCTGCTGCTTGCCTCCTTGGAGACTGCGAAGTACGGGTTGGCTTCTTTCACCTCGTCCTCCTTGTGAGTCTTGCCATCGATTACGCGAGCCTGCTATTCTTTGAGACGAATTGGTCAGGGTCTCGTGAGAGATTCACTAGTACAGGGGGCGTGTAGCTGTTGCTGCCGCCCCATATAAGCCAAGCGACGCTCACTGCGACCGCATCAATAGGGCCGCTGCCTCATCATCCCTGTCGCCGTCGGCGAGGCCATTGGCCTGCCGCCTCGAAACTGCACCCTATTGCGGAACCCTAGCGAAACCGTGGGGGCCTGCAATGTTGCGGCACGGACCACGCGTACTGGGGGTCTGGGGAGGCCTTTTTATAGTATATATATTTCTAGAACAATATAAAAGTTTCTTAAAAGAAGAAGTATAAAGACTGACCACACCGGTTCTTACAGGACACAAAACCTAGACCTTTTTTTGGGTGGCAAAACAAAGACGTGTGCACGCAGGGGAGGGAACGATGGGTGAAAATAGCTGGATCAATTTCCTTTTTAGAGGAAAAAAAATAGGTGGCCCAATTAATTGCTTTGAGGCTCACTTAGGCACAGGGAGCGGGGGCACAGGGAGAGGCGTCAACCGATCGTGCGGGCGAGGAGGTGGACGTATGAAAATTACCGTGACGGACAAAACAGACGAAATTTTCGAAAGTACTCCCTCTGTTCCTAAATACAAGTCTTTCTAAAGATTCAACAAGGGACTACATACGGAGCAAAATGAGTAAATCTACACTCTAAAATATGTTTATATACATCCGTACGTTGTAGTCTATTTGAAACCTTTAAAAAGACTTACTTCCTCCTTCCATCTATATAGGGCCTAATGTGTTTTTCAAGACCGCCTTTGACTATTGATAAGACTAATAATACATGAGATGTATAATGTGAAAATTATATCATTGAAAGCTCCTTTCACGTACGAATTTGATGATGTGCTTTGTGTAACTTGCATGTCATATATTATTGCTATAACACTTGGTCAAAGTTAACCTCGAAAAACGATTAGGCCCTATATAGATGGAAGGAGGGGGTATATTTAGGAATAGAGGGAGTAAGAAGCAATCACCCCTTAAATAATAGGTATAGGTATAGACTAGGTCATCTAGCGATTGATTTTTTTTTAGGGCTAGAGCTAGAGTACCGGTGGCTGCCCAGTGTGAGTATCGCGTTGTTGGGCTGCGGCCCAGCTAGCGTCCGCTTGAGCGCCGATTTTGGAATCGGGCGCTGAACCGTTTCGGCGCGGAAAAAAGACTGAAACGTTCATCTAAAAAAGAAGAAGACTCCGAAACGTTCTCCGCAGGCCCCCTGGCGAACAACAGGGTCGCGCTGGAGGCAGGCCCTGGGCGATCGATCGCCAGGTAAACGGGTCCAAACGATTTTCCATCCCGTGAGGAATAACAACTGCACATGTAGTTTTTGAACTCAATAGGAAGTACAGTACTGTCACAAGGACACAACACAATGTCAGACTCAAACTCCGAAGGAAGATCCTATCGGAATTGTAACTGGTAAAGGAAAATAGCCTGCAGGCATCGACCGGGTTTGGGTCAAGGTGCTCGATATAAATAGAGGGGGAGCTGCTTTTTTCCAAATCAAAACAAGAAGCTTGTTGGTTCGGCTCTACAACAAACATACCAACATCGATGGAGACGTCCATGGCGACTTCGACGACGAGCAATCGCTTCGCGCACCGCATGCTCAGCCTCCACCGCCTCATCAAGAACAACGTCGTCGCATCTCTCCTCGGGGGCCACCGCCAGACCACGCCGGCGACGACGGGAACACCGGTGCCGCTTCCAGCAACACGCCTGCTCGGTAACAGCAAGACCGCGGCGGTTGTCGACGTCGACGCGCTACTCCTGAATTCTTCGATGCCGTCCGCGGCGACTTTATTCCCACCTTTCTTCCTCGTCGCGGTCGAGGCTGGCAGCTTCGTCCGAGGCTTCCTCCTGCTGGCGCTCTACCCGTTCCTCCGCGTCCTGAAGCATGGGACGTGTTTAAAAGCCATGGCCATGGTCTGCTTCTGCGGGCTGCGGCGCAACGAGGCGGCGAGGATCGGGAGGGCCGTGCTGCCAAAGTATTTCTTCAAGGAGGCGGCGCACGTGGAGGCGCTAGCGAAGGTGGCCGGAGAGTCGCCGAAAGAGGTGAAGGTGGCAGCGGTTAGTAGGACTTTTCCAACGGTGATGGTGGAGGCGTTCTTGAAAGAGTATGTTGGGTTCGACGCGGTGGTCGGCAGGGAGGTGAAGGCAGGTTACCGGTACTTCGCCGGCGTGATGGAGGACGAGAAGACGGACACAACGATGGAGAGTCTTGTTGATGGGCTAAAGCAAACCGAGATGAAGAATACGTGCCATTACCCGAAGCCCATGATCTTCCACGACGGTCGGCTGGCGTTCACGCCGACACCGGCTGCCGCGCTCGCCATGTACATCTACTTCCCCTTCGCTATCGTCCTCGCCATCGTCCGCATCGCCATCTACACCATACTTCCCCGGCTTATGACGGGCGTCGCCGCCGCACTTGCCGGCGTGCGGGTGCGCGTCACCGGCGCCCCTACTTCCGCGGTCGACGGAGCCACGGCAGGCGGCCGGCTCTACGTGTGCAACCACCGCACGCTCCTCGACGCGATCGCCATCTCCAGTGCGCTCGGGAAGTCCGTCTTCGCCGTGACCTACAGCCTGGGCCGCCTGTCCGAGCTGATCTCGCCCATCCCGCTGCTCCGACTCACCCGCGGCCGCGAGGAGGACCGGCGCCGCATGGCGTTGCTGCTGGCGCGGGGTGACGTCGTCGTTAGCCCCGAGGGCACCACGTGCCGCGAGCCGTACCTGCTACGGTTCAGCCCGCTGTTCGCGGAGCTTGCCGACGAGGTGAGCCCCGTGGCGGTGGACGAGCGCTCGACCATGTTCTACGGCACGTCGACGTCGCCAATCGACAAGTGCTTCGACTCGGTGTACTTCTTGATGAACCCTCGACCGGAGTACTCCGTCCACTTCCTGAAGCCGGTGCCCACCGGCGGCCAGAACAGCAGCATCGAGGTGGCGAACCAGGTGCAGCGGGTGCTCGCCGACGCGCTGGGGTTCACGCCCACGGCGCTGACGAGGAAGGACAAGTACATGCTGCTCGCCGGCAACGAAGGGACAGTGGCGACGAAGAAAAGCAATTAGTAGGAGTAAAGTGAAGTGTTGGTTTTGGGTATATTTAGTTTAACTGCATAATTCTTTCTTGTTAGTTGCATGTCAGAACGGTGAATTGAGTTTGTTTCGAATGCTAGAATCTTATTTTATTTTTTTAAGAAAATTCAGATTAATTTAGTCCATTTACTGCAAGGCAGGAAAAGAGGGGGAAAAAAGGTCCGACTCAAGTTATCTTGAAAAAATATAATGAATCAGTCGATTATGAAAAACGAACATGTTTGATATCGTCCTCTTGCCACCTACTGCCAGCGGTCGGACCCCCCTTGGTAGGAATGGGGAAAAAGAGGTATGTCTTCTTGCGAAAGAAGACCCCCTTTATATATAGAACAAAAATCCAACCGTTATGTACTGGTTGTGCTCTAAGCGGTATTGCCTCTCGGGAGAGCGGTACTACCGCTTAACACGATAAAAGCGACAACGAGCACCGACCCGATATTAGCATAGTAATTTTGCCAGAGGAACATACAGAGAAACCAGCGATAGTTTTGCACGACACCAGAGCGGAAGTACCGCACGAAGTGGTACCATCGTTAGTGCTAGCGGCACTACCGCAAATTATTTGATGGCATCCAGAGAAACCCACGGTAGTGCTTGCGACATCTTCGCGGAAGTATCACCTAAACGGTACTATCACCAGTTGCAAGAGGTACTACTGTGATTTACCTGAAGCCTAACAGAGAACTCAATGGTAGTAGTCGCGGTACAACCAGCAGAAGTACCACCTAAGCGATACTACCGCTTAGCCTCTGCCAGTAAGCCCAATGCACAACAGACGAATCGCTTCAAGATTGGGGAAGGACATGTGGGTGCATATAGTTTGTGTATGTGTTGATTCCAACTATACCTTCCAACACGGAAACCCTCTTAATAGAACAGATTTTCTATTCAAATTAATTGAAAAGAAACGTCGAAAAAAAAAAGCTTCTTTACTCTTTCTTTCTTCGGGTAATTAAACCGTCTTGTGCCATATAAAAAATATCTGAAATGCTTAATGCACATGATTAATCTGCAAAGCGCATTGTCATGAACACCAATACCAGTTAAACAGAGATATGCCCTAACAGCCAGCAAGCTACCAAGAAACTTTTGCAATCAATGATGGCGTTGCTGCGAACAATGATGGAGGTTATTCGCACTAATTACTGTACAAGGAATAGAATGTGTTGCATCGACCGTTACCATTGGAGCGACGATGACGTCCTCGTGCGTGACGGTGTGGCTAGAGGCCACGAGCCCGCGACACGGGGATGCTTCAAGGTCACGAGGACAGAGCTACAAGGATCGGCGTCCACCACCCTCTCATCCTAGACATGGCAGGATGAAAGACACGACCGAGCGTACCACGCAATTATGGACACTGGCCTAAGAGCAACTCCAACCTTCCGAACTAAACGAATGCGCGTTTTGTCTATTTTTTATTCGTTTGTATCCACCATGCAAACGTTAGTGTTCGTTTTTTATTGGGTCGGCACATGTATCCAACGCTGGTCTGATGAATTTTTTCGTGCGGACTAAAAAAAAACACAACAAATACGTTCAAACTTAACATAATTAAACATTAAAGCCGGTCAACCGCCAGCCAAAGTCCACGTAAACAATAATGAAACATAATTAAAAATAAAGTTTGTGCCTCCCTAGGCATCCTCGTTGTCCGACCAAGGGCCGGTGAGGTCGAAAACTCCGGCGCCAGGCCAGCCCAGGGGAATGCCGCCTCCCATGCACGGGCCGCGTCCTGCACCTGATGCACCGTCGGCTGGACTGCTTCGCCGTGGGCACGACGCTCCTCCTCCTCCTCGCGCTCTACATCAGGGGCTCGCCCTCTGCCCGCTCCTCCGCCAGCGTGTGGGCCCTCCAATGCTCGAGGTACGCCGCCTCCTGCGCCGACATCGCACCGAGGCACACGGCCGGCGCGCTGACCCACTCGCGCAGCCCTCCGGTCCACAAGTATCGCTCCGCCACGGGCTCCGGCGGTGGCGGCTTGGCCTTGGGCTCGGGGAGCCTCAACGGCGACGGCAGAATCACGTAGTCCCTAATCGCAGAAAGGGCGAGAGCCTCCGCGGCCTTGCATGGTAGGTAGCCTCCTCCTCCTCCTTCTTGCATCGGGTCTCTTGATGGAGCTCTGCATGGCCGCCGCCAACGCGACCTGACATGCCTCCTCCTTCGGCTTGACCCATGGGGACGCCCGGGGGTTGGCATGGTGGTACTGGACGCCCCGGCGGCCTTCCTTTCCGTGCTCAAGGGCAAACCAGACCTCTCAATTGGGAGAGTCTGGTGCGTAGGCAGGAAGCCGGTGCTGCCGACGTCAGGAGCTCCCGGTGCTTGCGTACCTCCTCGACTTGAGCCCTCTGCGACTGCCACACCGGGATGCGCTACAGTCCCAGATGTCAAGCATGGGGCAGGTTGACATCTGGATACGATAGTGCCCGTCGGTACTGCCAGTGCCACCGTGCCTGGTGCAGTGGCATGTTCAGCCGCTCCCTCATAACGTGTCCAGGCGACGAAGGAGGCGCACGAGACGAGCCGACGTCGGGCGTGTGCTTCCCCTTGCCCTTGCCGCCGAGGAAGCCCATGGTGCTAGGGTTTGCCCGTCACTGGCGAGGAAGCAGGCGGTGGCGGATGTGAACGGATGAGTTGGGTCGGTTTGTTGAAGTTGCCCTAAGCGAGATTAGACGGTTGACACGACAACTGATCGATGCGAGGCATCGGCCGAACGACGCCGAGAGTCGCCCTTCAAATTTCAGCCTTCATCTATGCGCATTTGCTTACTATATGAAATATGTCATACAGCGAACTAAGCCGTGTTTGGATGGTTAGAGGGACAGTAGTATCTCTCAATCCATCAGGATTCAAATCCTGGTGCTCGCATAATTTCTGAATTTATTTTAGGATTTTCGGCAATGCACATTCAGTGAGAGGAGATGTTCCCGTCGATGACGATGCGCCTACGGTGACTCCGTAAATTTAAAGATGACAAGCCGACTCAGTCTCTCGGAGGTGCTCATATGCGTGTGTGCGTTTATATGGATGAGTGTATGTGCGTATATATGAGCGCTTGGGTCGGTACTAATGTTCAGAAAAAAAAAGAAATATGCCGTACACGATTATTGGAGAAACGACGTGGCCAACCGGAAAAGCTTTCCTTTTTTGACGTCAGTCACGAGGCTGGCATGAGTCGTTCATTATTGGCCACGCCATCCCCTCCCGAAAGAACGCATCCAAATCTCACCGCGGCAGAACCGCCCAAAAGTCAAAAACATCAACGGCTACGATGCCAATGGACCATTCCCAAACACCGGACACATCCTGCCCGTCCACCTCATACAAACGGACGGACGGATGCGACATGGTCCACAGCGGAACCCGTGGACCGAAATCTCGTCCCACGGCCGCCAGCCTCAAACTTTGAGTTTTCAATATATCCCGCCGGGCGCCTCCCCCCCACCCCCCATTCCCCATCTAGCCGTAGCTAGTACTATAAACCCTAGGGATTTCCCCCGGAAATTAGTCGTAGTTAGCGGTAGATTAGAGTCCGTAGCCGTACCAGGGGTTCGAAGCGGGCGAGATTGGAGGAAGGGCCGAGCAAATCGTGAGAAATCTCGAATTTCGTCCTTTGGTCCCCACTCCCGTGCCGTTTCTTGCGGGTTCTGACGCGTTTCTTCGACTCTCTCGCTGCAGATCTGTTCTAGGGTCGGGATTAGCGGCGCGGAATCGAAGCGGGAGTCGGGACAGGTAATGCGCGAGAAATCTTGGGGTTATCGGTGGTCTTCATTGCTTTCCCCGCATCCATTTCTTGGTCTTTTGACGATTTTCCCCATCCATTTCTTGGTCTTCTGACGATTTCTTGGACGTTTTGCGCTTGTGGATTTCTGGGAACAGGGCTGGAAGGATCTCGAGATACGAATCGTACAAGAAAGATCCAGGGAAGAAGAGAGGACAGGTGCGTGCGCAGGGGATGCTGCCTTTTGAGTTTTCCGCCATTTCTTGCTCTTTTGATGCGTTTCTTGGAGTTCTGACCGATCCGCATCTCTTCTGCCGCTTGCCTCCTGCAGATCTCCAAGATGCCTGAACATAGGGAACTCAAGAGGACGGCCCTCACCGACCTCTCTGGCGGCGGCTTCTTTATCAGGAGGGTGGCCTCGCCGGGGGCGCTGGCAGGGAGGCGGGCTGGGAAGCCGCTGCCCCGGCGGTTCGCGTCGCCCTCCAGCAACAAGGAGAACGTGCCGCCAGTCTGGGCTGTGAAGGCTACGCCCCCGAGGAGGAGGAGCCCACTTCCTGGCTGGTACCCGAGGACGCCGCTCCGTGATATCACGGTGATTGTAAAGGTAATGACCAATTTCTTCAGATCAAGTAATGTTGTTCTGACGTGAGTAGTTGAAACTGTTTGAAGATGTAGTTGCTTCACCTGCTATCTTGCTTACGATTCTGCACTGTGCTGTTTAAGAGTCTCTAGATGAACGTGTATAGTGCCTTTTCTTCTCTGCCAACTCCGTTCTGGAGTTGTTGTTGGCCGGTAACAGCATGTTTGAAGTACAATTGTTACCAATGTGGGCTTGTGGAATCCCATGACAATAGTCTTGAGTTGGATTCAGCTATATGATTTTGTGCTATGCTACATTTCCACCGGCACTTGATTATTGTTGGTAGCTCTTAACTGTTAACAAATGGCCAAACTGCAGCAATTTGCTTTTAATACCTTATTTACACCAAATTTCAGTTAAACAATGGTACTTAGATAATTTTGTGCTACTTCTGTTATGGTTTGTGGACAGTATTTGAACTTAATGGTAACTACTAGTTGGTTATGAAATCATAATACTGCTATAACTTTTAGTGGTAAGCAGAATAGATGTATTATTTCCGTGATTGGTACTGTCAGGTTTTGGGGTTTTGATTATTGGTATGAAGTATTGACAGAGGATCTTATTTACACCAAGTTTCAGTTAAACAATGGCACTTGAATAATTTTGTGCTACTTCTGTTATGGTTTTGTGGACAATATTTGAACGTAATGGTAACTAGTTGGTCATGAAAGCATGATACTGCTATAACTTTTAGTAGTGAGCAGAACAGATGTACTACCTCTGGTCCGCTTTAATTGTTGTGAAGGAACTGCTGCGGTAGTACAAAGTTGTGTACAGCTCGCGACAATAATTTCAGATCAGAGGAATATTATTTCCGTGCTTGGCACTGTCAGGTTTTGGGGTTTTGACTATTGGTATGAAGTATTGACGGAGGATATTCTTGTGCTCATGAACCATTACTTTGTTATGTTCCATCTAATTAGATATCATAACAAGAATTAACAAAACATTTTCCTGCTTCCCTGCATCAAGTGTCCATGTTAGATGAATACTGTCATGCCTGCTTAAAGTGCAGTTATTAGTGAGTGGAGAGGCTACCTCACTGTCCAAAGAAACACCTATCAATTGCCTATCGGAGCTGTTGTTTGCTTAGTGTTTATGTTTCCTGTACTGATGAGTGATGCCTGAGTATGATTCAGTTATACGATTTTGTACTATATTAGTTTTAGTTTTCGGCACTATTATTTGGCTACCAGTATTGTTTATCGCAAACCGTTTCTTTCTATCATCAGTTAACTGACTTCAGATATTTTATTAGTGTAATTCAGTATGATGTTTTGTCCAAGCATACCAATAAATGCACACATTTTTGGGCTATTTTCCTAAGCTGCTGACTTTTCTTTTGATATTACCTGACCAAGTGAAAATGGAGCTCTCCAAAGTTGTTTATGCCTATAAATCTCTGCAAACATGTGCCCCTTATACTCTTAAGTAAGACCAACAATGTTGTCTATATGCGTATATCCTTTGTATAGTTTGCATTATCCTCTTTTGGTCATGCTGTACATTGTGCATTATAGCCCGAGGCTGGTAATTCTTTCCATATGCTGTACATTGTGCTACTGTATACTACTGATACAATAGCATGCACCAGTTAGATGTCTATTTAATAAAATCCCCTTAACTAATATTTTGAGTTAAAATGTTGTGTATATAATCAACTGTTGTAGCATGTACTATCTCAAAATTTAAATGTTTCTTGTGTGTCATTCAAACAATATATTTTTGAGCTTGGGTTATTTTGATTGGTGGAATATTATAATTTAGTGAATTAAGCTCTGAGTGCATATCAACCATTTTACTATGGCATGATTTCTTTAACAGTGCCGTTACCACTGAATCCTAATTTACAAAACATATATGCCTACCTCTGCTGACCTGCTTTGGCTACATATTTGTTATTTTGATTGGTGCCATTCAAATGTTTATTTTTGCAGCAGGTAGTTCTATAGCTAAAATTATGCATTTCAGTGCATGTTCTTTCTTTCTACGTGCCGCTCTTCTGACTATTGATTTTCAGGCTATTGAGAGAAGCCGCTTAAGGATTGCTGCAGCTCGGCAGCAAAGCGAAACACCTGAGCAATCTCTGCAACCTGCAAACTTGACGACTCCGGTACCGGCAGAGCAGGGCACTCCTCATTCTACTGAAGCTCAGGACTCCCAAGCTATCGCCTCTGGTTCTGGCTTAACTGAAATGGTCGCAAACCCTGCACCTGGCCAGGCAGAGCACGACTTCAAGGTCTATTCTTCGCCATCCAAGAGCTCACAGAAGACTCCAACAAAACCCATCGATCCAGCGCTCGCTGATCTCATGGAGAAGAAACTGACCAGCTCAATAGAGCAAATCGAGAAGATGGTGAAGAAGAACCAGAAGAAGGCCGCTCAGCCTTCCAAGAGGGCCAACCAGAGGCGCACTCTCATGTCCATGCGATGAGTTTAGTACTCTGCTTCACTGCAGGGAGAGGAGAAAGTCCATCTCAGACTAGTCCTCCAGCCCGCCGTGTCTGCTGCTTTCTTAGCCGCTATCCTGACCAGTCAATCCTGCTCTTCTTCTGTCTGCCCTTCACCCCAAGACTTACCATAGCATGTTATGATAAGATGGGGATTCGTGGTTCTCTGCTTGAGGGCCTGGGATTATCTCGGTTGTTGGTTCTCTGCTTGAGGATCTGGGATTATGGGGCCGGCCTGTTGGTTCCCTCTGCTTGAGGGTCTAGGATTAGCAACTCTGCTAGTGTCAGGTTAATGCTACTGCAGTAGAACTCTGTGTCGTGTACTCTAGCACGCAGCCTAACAAATCTTTGTTTTGTGCTGTAATTTCAGTACCATAAACCATTGCTATACGGTAGCTTTATCATGGTTTCTGTATTTCTAGTGTCAAATGTTTCTACACTCTTGAAATCTTGCTGTTTAGCTATGGCATTTCTTACAGATGATTTCCATGCTCATTAAGATTCATTTTTGTTGCCGTATCAGAAAAGGTACCAGAAGCTTATGTTTTATTGTATTTTTGCATAAAATTTGGTTCTGTTTCTTTTTGATTTGAGCACCTGGAGGTCACTCATATTCTTTTACTCGTGCATGCTTGCTTAATTAGGAGCAGCAGTTTGCCTGTCTTCATCAGTGCATCCATTTGCGTGAGTTAAAATGCCAGCTCCAATAAAACATATATAAGTGAAGATATAGCTCGAAGGAGTGAAACCAGGCCCCAAAAGACCCTGAACTGCTTCTGTTTTTCAAACTACAACCCAGTTTGATTCTGCTGAGAAATCATTTCTGGATTAAGAGAACATGTTCACATGGTTATGTAATTAGGGATTAAGAGAACATGTTCACACCGTTTCACATCTGACATTTTTATTACTGTGTTACTAATAATAAGGCTTAAGAATACATTGTTGCAAAATTTAGGGCCCGTTCGGTGTCCCTCCGCTCAACGGCTCCGCTCCTGGAGCGGACGGAGCTGCAGTTAAAATTCTTGGAGCGAGCAAACAGGTGCTCCGCAGATCCTAGAATTTTAAGGAGCTGGTGGATTGCCGAACAAGTCCTTACTCAGTACATAATTCTTCCAAGTTTATGTTGAAGCTACTGAATATGATGTCACAGCTTATGCAAGGAGAGAAATACTTTTGTCCTCAATGACTCGGTGAGCACTGGCATTGTCCCTAATGATTCCATGAACCATGGCGTTGTTAGTAGGACATGATGCACTTTTGAAAGTTAACTAGTACAGTAACTAGTAGTACAATCTATTCGTCAAAGTGTTGACATTCCTTTTTTCTTTGCTGAACCATGGAAAGGCATGAGGGTCATTATACAAGTTCCCCTTGCAATTGATTCGATATACTCAACTTACATCACTCTTCTTTACTACCTTCACCCCCCAGTCTAAGAAAACCGATGGAGGCACACACTCACGCCAGCTTTCCCCTGCAATTGTACTGCACCAGAATTCATGGTCTAGACTTCACAAATGCTTCAAGCTTAAGTAAGAACTTCCACGACAAGTCAACAACAGCAAGAAAGTTTACTTCCCTCCTCTTGCTGGTAACAAAAAGGTGGACACACAAAGCCACAGAGGGCACTCACATTGAAAGCCACATACAACCAAAGAAGATGTTAACCGACTTGTCCGCCGTGTTTGTTGGCCTCGCCGATCATCTCATACCCCTTGCCTTCCATGCACAAGTGGCACCAGTGAGAATGGAGGACTACAAGGTCAAGGACTCAATACCACCTCCACACACCATTGGGAGCAATGGCCGTCCCAGAGGTGGCCAAGCGCCTCTAAATAAGGAGGGGCATCGTATCAACAGGTTGTCCAGAACCATGAGATATGTGTCCAAGCATATCAGGTGAGGAGTTTCCAAAACCTGCAACATGATAAATGACATGAGTAAACAAAGGTTGACAAGTTCTCAATACATTTAATCAAGGAGAAGTCACACAATATTATGTATATAAATTTCATTCTGACATTTTAACATGACTTTGTCTAATTAATTCCGTTCCAATGGTATGCAGTTGCGTGATAATTTAATCAACATTAAACATGATTCGACATGAGTTTGTCTATAATTCAGTTCCAGTGGTATGCAATTGAGTGATAATTTAAACAACACTAAACATGATTCAACAATTTCAAGACTGAATTGTCTCGAGTGATTATTTGGAGTATGTAACCGGTAAGTAAACAACAAGAAGAGACCTGTGGATAAGGAGCAAGTACCTCACCTATCAACTGAACAGTAGCATATCTGCCTTCCATTACTGAATCTGCCTTCAAAGAGCTGGACAATCAAGAAGCTCAGTAATAAACATAGACGATACAGTTTAGACCGAAAAATAGAGCTCACCTAACCACATTGTAAATTCCAAATCAAGTAGTACTACAGTACAAAAAAAAACTATGCAACAAACAGAAAATTAAAAGACAGTGCTGGTAACAAATTTTAATCTTTCATTCATGCACATGAGATGCCTGGGAAACAAATCTAGTGAAAGAGGACCTTCTTTTATAACCAACTAAATTTCCATTAAAAGCAAAGGATGCTGTCAAGACACATCAAAGAGAACAAACAATTACCTTCCTAGGAATTGCTACATCAACACATCTACAGGGTCTTCATGGTGTTTACCAGTGCAATGCTGTGCACACGACTGCGGAAAGCTTAAACATAGGTGGTTTGTTATATACTCCCTCCGTCCGATAATATAAGAGCGTTTTTGACACTACACTAGTGTAAAAACGCTCTTATATTATGAGACGGAGGGAGTACTGAAGAAGAGAGCTCTAGATATGCTTGCTCCTCTTTTTTCTGGAATAAAACTCTTTAAATCTTCTGAAGCATTTGATTCCAATGATGCTGTAATCAAGACTACATATGAAGTTGCTGGACTTTCAAGGTAGCAGAGAATGAAAATACCTGCCAATTCATGAGCTAACTTATATCATCAAGTTATTTGCTCGATTTTGTATACATGATTAGTAGAACTGATCTTGGTGATCGTGGGTGATACATTTTAAGAACAATCCCATTCCCAGCTCATTTCCTACTACCAAAAAAGCAATCTGAAGTTCTGAACTATCCATCTGTGTAATTTTGTGACCTACAAGTAGAAAAAACTCACATGGCACGCCTAGTGCCTTCATAGGCCCTTCCGCTGCTTGATCTTGACAAACTTTGAAGCAACTAAACAGAACAACGTGACCGCGCACCCAAAATTTGAGCTTCATTTCCTTAGATTGTTGGGAAAAGAAAACGACCATATTGAATATGTTAAGAGTACACAGTATAAACTAACAGACCAACTGGATTATTCAAATAAAAGGCCACATAGTTTAGTGCCAATTTGCATTTGTTTCCTCTTTTCTTTTGCATTTGTTTAGTTGTTTTGTGGGGGTACTGACTGCCAACAACTGTCTAAATCCAAAGTAGCAACTGATATGTGCTTCTGAAAACCCACCACAATGCCAGACAGCTTTACGAATATTTTTTTTCTCCCACAACAGAGGCGAAGTTTTGCCTCCCATTTATTAAGAAGAGTTGCCCTGTTAATTAGTGGAAAACCAGCCGAAAACCGATACAACAAAGGGCAAAGCCACTCATTAACACCAAAACAGCCATATACAAATATAAATGACAAACTAGCACCAATAACTCAAAGATATATTGAACACCGAACAAACTTACACAATAACTTAAATAAGTTTAGCTACAGCACAACAATTTAGGAACATAAAGAACATCTAAATAACCTGCAGTCATATAGGAAATTAACAGAACTCAGCTAGGCAATAAATTTAGGATTCTAAATAACTGAACTAACTTATAACTTAGATCTTTTAGCTTCCTGTTGTTCTTGAGATCTGTCGGCGTCTCCACTCATGTGCTGTTTCCTTCCATTGTTGTCGATGCTTGTAATGTTATCACTGAAGAAGTACCAGCAGCCTGTTCCACATAGGGGGCTTTGAACACTGTCAGCAGAGGGAAGAACAAAGGGTGCAGAGGTTCGGGTGACCATGTCGAACACCATAGGCACGTCTCTCCACCGCTCATCGATCCAGTACACACAGTTGGCCCTCACCCCGGGGACATCCTCAGCCCGGACCACCGCTGGGTTGTTCTTGCCGATGAACACTGAGTAGCCGCCCAGATCATTCACCGTGTCCCAGCATGGTCTGAGCCCAGGGTCGTACCTCAGAACGAAGATGTCGTTGTCGGACATGCTGAACCGGCCGCCCTCTGGCAGCCGCCAAGCGATGTTACCGGTGGCATTCCGCCATACCTGGTACAGGCTACCATTACAGATGAAGATCTGCTTGAACCTTGTGAGCTTAGAAGCTGTGTGGTAGGGCGGTGCGAAGACGGCCGTGGGGTCGAACGGGCGCTCCGGCAGCAAGGGCTCGACTATAGGCTTCCGGCGGCGGCCACGGGGAATGTGGAGCACGTGCACGTCCCCGCATTCTGTAAGGCAGTAGACCTTGCCACCGTCCGTGTCGTAGACCAGGTCGATGAGCTGGTCCCCCCTGTCCATGGCGACGTCGCTGATGAACCACTTCATATCCCGGGTCTTGCTGTAGGCGAGCTTGTTGCCGTTGCATATGGCGACGGCGGTGTAGTCGTCGGGTCTGGGGTTCGGCGCGAATACGACCTTGCGCACCCTCTTGCCGCAATTCTTAATCCGAAGGAGGCTGATCTCCTCGCCGGTAAGGGGATTCAGGAGGAAGATCTGCAGCCTATACTCGCTGACGACGGCGAACCAGCCGTTACTTGAGCCGAGGAAGCAGCTGCGCGTCTGGAGCGTGGAGCAGTGGATGGGGCGCTGCATCAGGAACGATAGTGCGGATGCGCGCCGGCCGTCGACAAGGACGAGGAGAGAAGGGAGCGGCGGCGGGAGGGCGGAACGCCATGCCGGGCAGGCGCCGCGGATGGA